TGTATGAAATAATTCAGTTTCACACTGCTAGATATAGTCAATGGCTGATATGTTGCTTATGCCGACAGGTCACAGGTAGAGGTTCAGGTCAAAGTCCAGGTCCCCTTTTCCAGGTTCACGTCTTACATGTCAAAGTCCGCTTTTGCTAGGTCAGGTCTGGACATTTGACCTGGACCTAACCTGGACCATCCTGTCTCTGGTTTGAAGGTAGGACTTGATCTGCTTGTCAAATAGGTCTGAAACCGTTCTCCTCTTGCAAAGTTTTATGCCGGATACTGCTGCCAACTATTCAAATAATGATAATCGAGAAAAAGCACTGAGATTTTTTTTCTTTCCAACTCAAAGGTGTACGTGTGAATATTACCACCGGAGATTAGAAATATAATGCTATACAGAATTACATCGGCAAAAAAAGATGAGACAAACGCGTGAACGATGAGACAAACGCTAAGTAGTTGAAAAATACAATTTAAATAGATGTCGTGCGGGAGATATAAATGTCAATCGTTTTAAACAGACTAAAAGAACTCTATATTTTAGTCAAAATACCACTGCTTGATGCAGTTTTCTCTGCTCTTTCAAATGGTATTTGTTGATCAGCAACTCTCCGGGCTCATCTTTCCCGATTATCGATTTCTACTACCTGGCTGTAATCAGCGTTCCAAACGCTATCAACCTTGATAGTCATTATTAAATTTCATGAAAAAATTGTTTTTTCGAAATTGTTTTTTGATCATTTTGTAGAGGACAAGAAGTTACCCAACATAGGTGAAATTCAGCTTCTCTTCATGTAATATGACTGCACAGCAGTTGACGCACCGCGAAAATTGATCGTTTTTTGCCTAAAAAGTTACAATTTTTTGTCTTGTGCTGACTAGTGTTGAGTCAATAAAATTGCAGAAGTACATAATGTAGGACATCTGAATATTGGGTTTTGTATACTTTTTGACGCTCTATCTTCCTGTATATTGCGTTAAAAAGTTGGTTAATCTGCAGTTGAGTTATAGGATCCCAACTTTTCAAGGGAAAGTTTCGATGAATTTTTGACGAAAGGCGAGGAGTAGTCAAGAGTGCGGTACGGCTAACTTTTCACCAACTCAATATCAGACGCTAAAAATTTGGATTTAGAGGTTTTGGATGATGCTGATTCTGATGGGCATGTCAAATCGAAAAGGTCAAATTTGACCAGTGCCTCGGTTCCTGGGTGGTCTAATGGGTGTTCTCTCAGGTATTTGCGATCTGATGAGATTCTATTCTCACTCTCATCATCTACTTTCACTCACTCTTAAGATAGTGTGATGCTTTGAATTTCTCGTCTTACCTTCTATTGTCTATAATATTAGATAGAAATTATTTCGATTTTCATAACTACTTCAATTTTGAGGAGTTTTGATTTATATGTAATAATAGATTTCTAAATATATCTGATGATTGTTCCTTAAGCTAGGATGAAACACGTCGTGTGATGCTTACAATCCTTCCTACTTGAATTTTCTTTCAATAGAAATGGATTAGTACGCCTAGTTAGAATAGTCATAACTACATCAATAATTGGTTGAGTTTTGATTATGGTCTAACTTTATGTACTAGATTGTAAACATACCTGATGAGTCACTTAAGCAAGGACGAAACGTCGTGAGTGAAAATTTCTTAGAGAAGGAATATGAAAACATTATTCTAAAATACATTCGAAATGAGAGTACAAAATTGGAAGATATAATTGTCGACAAAGATCGACCTATTATTTTTGCTATTTGTAATATTGGCAGTGAAAAGAAAGAAGAAAATGAACATTGGATAACGTTTTGTATTGTAAAATCTAGTGAAAACTATTATGTGTTTATCATACATTCATTAAAATCTGAAATATATAAAAGTAGAAAAAATGAATTAAAAGAAAGTATCAAAACAAAATTGAATAGTAAAAAGATTGAATTTATTGAGTATGATGATAATAATAATAATAATAATAATAGTAGAGAAGAATCTATTGTTGTTTGTATAAATGATGATATTCATATAGCTTTTAATAATATGAAAATTTTTATTCAATTTTTAAAAAATGAAAACAAAAATTTAACAACAATTTTTAACAACAAATTTGAACAAAAATTTAAAGAAATAAAATTTTTTTTCAGTAATAATGAAATTATTAATTTTAATAAATTCGTAATAAAAATAGGATTAAGTACAAATTTTCGAACAAAATTTGTATTAGAAAAAATTTTGTCTGCCTTAAAAATTGTTGTTGAGAAAGATAATGAATATCAATTAGTTGATAATGATCAATTTAATAGACTAACGAGTACATTAACAAGTCAAAATTTTGTGCCAAGAAATGATGAAAAAATTGATCTTAGAGAAGATGTTGTCAAATTTATTACAATATTTAAAGACAGAGGAAAAATGTTTAGTGAAATTACTGAAACAAATTTAAAAACATATTTTCAAGCAAATAAAAATAAATATTCAAATGATATTGATAGATTTGATGAAAAACTTCGTCAAGATAGTAGAGATAGTCGAATAAAAGGTTGTTTAAGTCTTGCTCTAAAAGATCGAACACAATTTTTAAGTAGTATGGGAAAATTAAGTCGAGAACAATTAACTATTGAAGATTTAGATCAGTTTATTAAGTTGTTTGGCGAAAGTAGTCAGGAAAATAATTTAAAAATTCGCAAAGAACAATTAGATAATCAATTAAGAACAATTTTAGATGAGAAACAGAATAATAATAATGAACTTGTAGTAACAGAACAGGCAAAATTGATTAAAATCAATTATGAAATTAATGAAATTCAAGAACAAATTGATTATTATGTTGCGAAATTTGAAATTACTAAAGAAATTAATATTGATGATTTAATTGTGTTACTAGGAGAGAAAATTGAATTAATTATTACTCCTTACAATTTTTCAAAAGAGACAATTGATAAAATAATAGCAATTGGAAAAATAACAGAAAATAAAAATGTCGCCATTGCTATTGTTAAATTTTTAAATATTTTGTCTGATACAAAACAAATAGAAGAAAAAATTGAAAAAGTGTTAGCTAACATTTTACCCCAAATTCCTCAAGATGATACAGTAAACATTGTTCTGACTCTTGGTAAAAAGTTAATAAAAATTGTAAATTATTCGAGTTTATTAAAATTTATGTACGAAATATTAATCGAGAATAAAAATAAAATTTTGAGACAAAATGCACTTAAACTTTTACAAACGTGTGAATTTTATCCAAATAATCTTAAATATATAAATCAAACAATTAAATTAGAAGAAAAATGTTTGAATAAAGATAAAAATATATTTGAAGATTGTTTAGAACAAGTAAAAAATCAAAATAAATTAACATTCAATTGTTTTGAAGAATTAATAGAACATTTTTCTGCAAATGAAATTAGTAAAATAATTGAACAGATTGTGGAACAAGATATACAAAAGATACCGGAAGTTTTTATTGAAAAATTTCATGAATATCAAAAAATATCTTGTTCAGATAAGAACAGTCAAACAACAGCAAACATAATGAGTATTAGAAAATCATTGATTCGAGGAAAATATATTAATTTAACACAAATTCAAAATATTGGAGAATTAATTGATCATCCAAACGTAAGCAATGATGTTTTTGATATTTTGTTTGCTGAATTTACTAATGGAAATAATATTCCAAATGATATCATTGAAAAAGTTAAACGTGCAGCAATAACTAATGAATATGCAGAAAATTTGATAAAATTAATAGAAAAAACGTCTAGTAGTATTGATATAGTAGGAAATCCGAGAAAACATTTAACAGAACGAAAAGACGCTCTTGATAATATTGTAAATGATAAGCGAAATCATACACCGTATGCAGCGAAAATATTAAAAATGCTTATTAAAAATGATAATTATTTAAGAGAAGATTGTTTTAAAGCATTGATAAGAATATTGCCAGTTGATTATACAAAAACAAATTTTAAAATTGATTTAAATGAAATAGCAAAATCTATTTGTGATTGTAATATTAGCATAGAAAATCTTTCTATTTTAGTACATAAGGATAAAACAGCAGATTTATCACCTATTTTGCCTATAATAATTGATCGAATTGTTGATCAACAAGTCAGTGTACTGACTTTATTAGGTGAATGATTTGATTCTTTTCGATACCTACCTAAAAGAGGTTTGAAGTGTGGTATATATAGCCGACATCTTGATCTTTAAGATCCATATAACAGGATCTTTGTCAAAAAAAATTGAATTTTTAAGGAATAAAATATTTTTAATTCGTCGGACAAAAGTTTGATACACCGACATTTCCGCGAACGATATGAAACCTGAGTGAAGTTATGTAGTGAATAGTCATTATGTGACAGGGGTGGGCGATGGACGAGGATCGCAGCGAGCTCTCGTGATTCCTCACGGGGTGGTCCTTGCGAAGGAGTTTGACTTACACTTATTTGCTAAGAAATAAATTGAGTACAATGAAGACACCCTCATCATCAGATTCCAAACGACTGCATTTTGTTTATCTTTCTGCGAACGTCGTCCACTATTTCTAGCCATGTTTTTACCATATTTTGAGGCTAAAAGCGAATTTCTTTCAGCTTTAGATACTTTCTCACCCAAAATCAACAGAATAACTAATGAAATTGGACCTTGAAAGAATCGACTAGCTTGACCATTTGCCTTATCTAACTAAATCAAATTTTACGCCTTCCTTTATTAAAACTGTCAGAACACTTTTGCCACATAGTCACTGCTGCTCTATCAGCTGCATCAAATTTCCTTGATATTTTAAATGTTTTCTTTTTCTCTGCTCTGAACAATGACTGTCGTTGTGATTGTTTTCAGGAGAAAGGAAAGAAGAACAAAACTCATATCGTCAGAGACTATATAATCTATATATACGAAAATTCATTCTTCACATATTCATTCACACATTCGTTCTTTCACCATTTTTCTTTATGAATTGATTACACCATGTTTTACTCGGACTTTCTTCGAGAACGCGGTGCAATCAGTTTTTGACTTTTTCTCGACTATACGGCACTCTCATTATGCCATAATGTTTATCTACAAAGAAAATAAGTCATTGTCAATCAACACGCAATAGTTCACAGAGAGTACACGGCAATTTGGACTTCCTAGTATGATCAACATGTTTATGTAAGCCTATAGAACAAGGAATGGATCTTAGATTCGCTGCATTATCGGAGAAGGAGGATCTTTTTCTGACCCTCAAAACTGTAAATAACAAAGAGAGTTCGACCTTGTGATAATCAAGTTCGAGGGAACTAAAAGATGTAGTCTCATGAAACAGATAATTTTTCGCGCTTCTTATAAATTCCTCTGCCTCGAAATTTTTGAGTTTGAATCAAGTAACAACATCAACTACCTGCATGGAGAGACTTCAAAAATCCGGCTTTGTTAGGTTGTAGGGCCAGGTCTTCTCTACATTTTGACACCATTCCGAAGGCCGTATCATTAAAACTGAAAACAAAATCTTTGACACACGGACACCTACTTTTTGACCCTTGATGTTACAATAACTCGCGAAAAACTCAATATTATGAGCTCAAATTTTTACTGAGAACTATCAATGGTCAGATACATATTCAATAAAAATTTCAGTAAGATTGAGTGTTCTGGGAAAAAAAAATTTTAGGGTGGAGGGGTGCCCTTAACTTCATCACTCAGTAATACCAATAAACTTTGATATTATCTAATGCGTCCTGTGCCAAACGTTGCAACGGTAACATCAGAAAAACTAATTAATACATGAATATAATAGAGGGCGCGCCACAAAAAACTTACCCCTTTTTGAAATATTATTTCTGCCCCTCTAGAATTCACTTTCTGGCCCAGTTCTTTTTGTGATAGATAGAGATGGGAAAAGCCTACTAGATAGATATATTTTTACTTTTAAAACGTTCCACCGTAAGTGGCGACAAAAAAGAAATTCATTAAATATGAAATCTGTGCTGGACCGGTATCCCCTCACCGGAAAGCAAAAAAAGATCTCTCACCAACAGTTAGTTTTGGTTTGAAATTTGGCGTAGCTATAGAGGTACCAGTGTACTCATTGCGGAAAAATTTTGATCTAAAAAAGATTGTTTTTTAAAGATTTTTTTCGTTTCCATAGAATTATTTAAGTTTGATGCTAATTGCTACTCCATGCTTCTTTATTATATTATATTTTGTTTCTTATTATAAAACCGAAATTTATCAACAGTTTATACATAATGTTGTAGCCGTCGAATCTGCGGTACACAATTGATTGTAGTTAAAACAAATTCAAGTGAGGAAATAACCAAACTACTACAGGATGATCCAAAAAAACTTACCCCCTGTGTATTTATTGACTTTCTTGTGTACAGATATAATTGAACTTTTTATCGTTAGTTTATTCAAATAGAGCAAAGATTTCTAGACAAAATGAGACGGCTCCGAGCTCTCTAAGAACTTTTTTCATGAAACAGCATTGAGTTTACGGAAGGTCCCAAGAGCATATTTTTCTTGTTTGCCCGTTAATTGTCCCGATTTTGGTGGTATGGGATCTTCTATAAATTGGATGCTGTTTCATGAGACAAGCTCTTCGAGAGCTCGGAGACGTCTCATTTCGTCCATAAATCTTTGCTCCATTTGAATAAACTAATGGTAAAAGGTTCAATTATATTTGTACACAAGAAAGTCAATAAATACACAGGGGGTAAGTTTTTTTGGATCACTCTGTAGAATCCTGTTTTGTTATCATGGTGGCTAGATAGCCCAATGTGTTTTCTAAAAGTCTGCGCAAGACCGTCCTCGCTATCTGTTATGGTTCTCGAATGGCAGGCATTTATCCGACGAAATGGTAACAAATTTGACTCCGGAAAATGCTTGCCATTCGAGAACCGCAGCACATAGAGAGGTCAGCCTTGTGCAGAATTGTCGAAAACACTTGGGGCTAACTGGTCACCATGTTACAATTAAAAACCCACCACAGGTTCAGAATCTGACAACCTCATCGCTTTTCATCCGTCAGGTACACCACCTGAAGAACCTAGACTTTCTAGACAAAACATATGTGAAGATAGAGCAAAGCCTTCTCTACAAAATCTGTGTTCGTTTTCGAGTTATTCTAGAAAGTCCATGCCTAGTGGCTCCCACAGCTTGTGGCTATGATTGCGAATAGTTTCTGTGACACTTCCTGGTCTGAATTTATTTAAACTGGACGACAAAAATTTAATCCTGTTTCGATTTGATTCTTTTCGATACCTACCTAAAAGAGGTTTGAAGTGTGGTATATATAGCCGACATCTTGATCTTTAAGATCCATATAACAGGATCTTTGTCAAAAAAAATTGAATTTTTAAGGAATAAAATATTTTTAATTCGTCGGACAAAAGTTTGATACACCGACATTTCCGCGAACGATATGAAACCTGAGTGAAGTTATGTAGTGAATAGTCATTATGTGACAGGGGTGGGCGATGGACGAGGATCGCAGCGAGCTCTCGTGATTCCTCACGGGGTGGTCCTTGCGAAGGAGTTTGACTTACACTTATTTGCTAAGAAATAAATTGAGTACAATGAAGACACCCTCATCATCAGATTCCAAACGACTGCATTTTGTTTAGGATCACTACTGAAATAACATTTTGCTCAAATAATTATATGTTCTCATAATGCTTCACATTCTCGATCATCCTGAACGTTTGAAATTAAAAACGAAAGAGATAGTAGAAAATCCAGTTTTTTAGAGTTCTTCAAGAAAGGTGTCTATGTAACATTCGAATTATTCTTCAGTAAATAAATGCAACACAAGACAAAAATATATAGAACGATAGAGAATTCCAACCACTATCAGAATGTACAATTACTTTTATAAACATATTTTTCCGTAGTAATAATAATTTGAAAAAACCTAAAAAATTAACGCTTTTTCGTTGTTGTCGATTAGGGGTACCTTCGCTGTATTCAAATTATTTTTCAGTAATTAAATGCAAGACAATGGATAAATATATAGGGTGAGAGAGAATTTCAAGCACTATCAGAATATATATTTACTTTTATAGAAAACAATTTCTATATTCGTGATAAATTAAAAAACAAATGAAAAAGGTAGTAACAAAATGAAATCTTGATTTTCTTGGCAAGTACTTGATTTACTTGTAAAAAAGCACAAGACCGTTGAACAAAACTTGCTTGGGTACTAGACCAAGTACCTGCATGCAAGCACATTCACTAGGAAAACCCATTAATTTTGTTTTTCTTAGACTCGTACTAGGTTTTCTATTCTGTCTAGTAGCGATTGAAGAGAAAACTGACAATGAAAAAGAATGATGCATATTTTGATCAAAGTGTATTAGAAGCATGCCGTTTCCAAGCAGAATGTGTGCTGTTTAAGTTAAGTGCGTCTCACACCACGCAGCAGAAACCTATCTCTATAGAGATCTGTTTGAAGAGTCGAACAAGATATTTTATTGATATATTACGCGTTTTGCTGTCGCGTGATATTTGTCATATCCAGCTTTAGTTGCTTCTCCATGTGCCATTGACACATGATGTGTCTGATTTATATACAGCGCTTCGTCCGTAGAAGGCAGCCACAAGTTCTCTGGGCTGTGCTGGACACCATACCTGAATTCCACTAAATTTACATGGATTTAATGGAAAAGTCCAATTTCTCGCATAGGATTTCCACTCGTAGTTTCCATCATATTCACTAAGAATTGATGATGTGTTTGTCGAATTTTCTGATTGACCAGGATGATAATTATAAACGGGCCAAATCTCAACGTAGGCGTCTGTCTTTCGATGAATGAATCGCGCATTGGGTGCGACGAAATTACTACCTTGCAATCGAAAATACGATCGAGTAAACCATCCGACAATGTACCACTGGGGATGTACGGTAAGTTTGTATATGTTCGAATCCAACGATATCAAATTCGAATTGATCAAAGAAGCAAGTGCCACTAGTTGAGATGTGTCTTGACCCATTATCGACACATCTACATCACGATCATGTGGTAATAGGCCACCTCGTTGAACATAGCCAATGAGGGTTACATAACATATCCAGTATTGCAGGTTGTTCTTGCGAGCAAAAAGAGCCCATGTTTTGAGAACGGTAAGAAGGGCATGCTGATTAGCACGATCGTGTGCGGCACATGTTGGTATGCTTGTGAGAGCTTGTTCTACGCTAAAATTTTCGTTGAATGTTTGTACTGTAGAAGGAGAAAAATGTGGAAAATACTTATGGAGTACAACGCCGAAGCTAAACAAGAAGAATAAAGTGCAGACATTTAAGAAAAATCTAAGTTGACCCATTCTGTTTATAGAGAATATATGATGGTAATGGTGAAAAGACTGATGCTATATACTACTACAAGAGAAAAACTGAGAAAAAGCAGAGAAATAAAAAATGATCGAGTGGCTTTAGTGTTGTGTATTGACGAGGTCTTGTCAAAAAACTATGAATAAGTATATACATGCATAAAATATGACAGCTGTGTGGTGTGTGTTGCTACTGCAAACGTATATATAATTATTATCTTTTTCAAAAAACCAGTAGTGGGCAAAATGCTGATAGTTTATGATAGGAGATAGCTAGAGACCTGCGGTTTCCCCCATTCGAAAGAGGACACTGTGACACGTAAACCTACGAAAAAACAGGGCACCTGATCACGTTTACCATGATGCTCCATTCGAGACAAAATCCGAAAGCTTACCATTCCCAAACCACACTATGGCATCCAACCTCAAATAATACCAGTCGATAGTCAAGACATTTCTCTTCAAAGCTACGTAAGGCATAGGTCTCCATCTCTTTTGATTCCAGAAATACAGACGTTTTCCGAGGGCACACCTATCTCATTGCAGACACGTCTGAGAATCTCAGAAATATGTGGATCATAGATAATCAACCACGCTGATCACCGTGGCGATGTTTGTTTCATTTCCCAGTTGATCACAACTTCAGAAAACCCAGTTTGGTGAAAAATCGGCTTTTCGCTGGTAACTATCAAAAGTTAAAAGTCTTATGTTTCACTCATTTATTGTTCAAAAAGGCTCAGACTTTCAGGGAATGATTAGGAAAGACCACAGAATGCAGATCAAGTCGAAAACATTGCACAAGATTTTCAGTTTAGGCATACGGTTCTTTTGCGGATCTCTGGAAAACTTTCTCATATAATATTATATAGTGGGGTATACTCTATAGTATTATACATATATTATATTATATATACGAAACAAAAGCTCGGATCAAATTTTTTTGATCTGCATTCTGTGTAGTAGTCAAGCAGTCCTGGAAGGAAAATTTCGTTGAAGAACGAAAATTTTTATATTTGTCTTAATTTCTGATTTTTCTAGTGAGAAGAAACTTAGTTTAAGCAACCTTCACCAGTTTAGTTCTTGTTTAAGTTAGTTTAAGGTCTATCATTTCTTAGTGTTATTTTTATTATTATTTTGCTGCGGCCGGCAATTCAGTCGCAGCTCAACAGTCGTTGTCATCAACAACGACAACAACGTGCATGTCTACTATGTCATTCAACTGCACATACTCGTGTTGATTGTTTACAGAGCGCAGTCAACAACACCTGGTCTGCCCGTCCTACAGGACCACCTGCTTCTCAGGCTCTTGCTAAAAATAACACTAAGAAATAATAAGGCCTAAACTAACTTAAACAAGAACTAAACTGGCGAAGGTTGCTTAAACTAAGTTTCTTCTCCCTAGAAAAATCAGAAATTAAGACAAATATAAAATTTTCGTTCTTCAACGAAATTTTCCTTCCAGAACTGCTTGACTACGATAAAATGACGGTGGCGCTTGCTGCACTTCTCATGAACTAAAATTCGATACTTCCTCGAATTATCAATTTTACTCAAAAATCGGCAGAAATGGGTTATTTCACCTAATATGGGTTCTTAATAGGTTTTTGATAGTGTCTTGAAAAGCAAATGATGCCACGAGATTTAGCGTGGTCGATTACCTCCGTTTCCATTTATTTTCGCTATTGCCACACCTAAACAAATATTGATTCTGGGACTCTCAGGAAATCCGATGTCACGCCTGAACCGGAAAAAATAAGAATTTGCTTAGTTCGCATTTTGCAGAGGACACTTTGGACAATCTGTCTATGAAGAAAGACCGACCTACGTCTGTGTCAGTTCTCCAAGCTCCAAACTGGTTTTCAAAGATCTGCTCAAAATCCGGTCTTTGAACTTTTTTCAAAAATCATTTCTGCTTATGGAAAGATGCGTACGGGTCTTGGCTATTGAAAACTGAAAATCGCAAGTCTGTATCTGCTTCCATTCCGGAGTTATTCAAAAAGCAACCGCCTGACTTGTATTTTGGAACGGATAATACAACAAATTTTGTTGTTAACTAGCAATTATTAGACTTTCAAATAATCACCAGTGTATATGCGGTAAGTGCATACAGCACGTTTGTCTTTTATAACTTCTAATGGACTTTTGCTGCTTTTGTCATTTTTTCCTTGTTCTGATACTTTATATAATAAAAATCAGTATTATGAGGAAAATTGGTCTTGTATAACAGATGAGTCATGCAGTCAGAAAGACATGGCATAAAACCTAATGTCAACTTAGTACGTAAGCAGAAAGTGATCAAGTTAATCATATTAAACATGAATTTAACTTAAACATCGAGCTAAAATCTTTGTTTCAGTGTAAACGTTAAATAAATGCAAGAGAAATTGACTGTGCTCATCACCACTCTCTTCGTATTCATCACTCATTCAAAACTGATTATAGACGGTAAACCGATTACGCGATTGGCAAATAAAATATTATATTTAGCGTTGTGATTGATTCTGGCTCAAAAAAAGATACTGATTCTCCATTTAAAATTATCTTAAATAGAGAAAAAATAAGAGAATCAATGTGCTAGAAGATGGAATAAATCTACAGTTCTCTGCTTCGAAATTAAGTTCTTTCATTTTTTGAAAGTTATTAAGAGTGAAGCCGCTTTGGTTCTAGATGTCAAATATGATCAGTCATAACTTGTATGTATATCTCGTAGTCAATTTTTGTTCTTTTGTTTAAAAGCAGAGTACAATTGAGGAAAATCTAAAAATAAAATAAAAGTTCCACTATTCTTTTCGTCGGTTTTATCAATGACAAACAAAAAAGGAAAAAACCAAATAATATAACGAAAGAACATACTGTGCGATGAAGGAAACAAGAGGATACAAATCCTAACTTTAAAGTGTGATCTAAGCTTTGAAAACTGATTACTATTCAAGATAGAAATAAAGGTTTTGCCGAAACATTTGTTTCAAAAATTTATTTAATGTGATAACAAAATTTGTGTATTATACAATAAACTGTTATCATGATTAAATGTAAATGTTGTGGCATCTGATTGACAATTTATTGCAAGACAAATAATAGGGAAAATCCGACGATGTAGCATCATATGTTATACGATAGCTATTCTGCTAGATTAATACACAACGTTGTATTGTTTGGTTTTTTCCTTTTGTGTGTCATTGAAGAAACCAACGAAAAGAATAGTGGAACATTTATTTTATTTTTAGATTTTCGTCGATTGTACTTTTTCTTTTTCTTTTAAACAAAAGAACAACAATTGACTACAAGATATACATATATAACATATAAACAGCAATTAAAAGGGAAACGTCGTCTATATCGGAAAACCATGTTATAATTGGATTAGTTTGAACACGCGATGAAAGAAGTTTTCAAGTGTTGAACTCAATAAGTTTTTGTAACATGGCGAGACGAGGTACTTTTCAAAGAGTTCAGTGAATTTGACGTTCTAACTTTTAAAGAAATAGCAGACAGTAAGAATTATTCTGATAACTAATCTCTATCAGAAATCTGAGCTCTTTTCCAAATCACTTCAAGTAAAAATTTAAAGAATGCTAGATCAGGGTTTCTAGATAAACCTGTTTTCTAACACACCAAACTTAAATTAAGTAAAGTTTTAAAAAGGCTTTGAAGTTAAAAAGATTGCTTTGTACATTTTACTCGTAAACTGGTTACATTAATAGCGAGCAGAGAAATAAAGTATACCTTTTATCTTTTTGAACTTTACTTTTGTTGGTCTTGACTTCGATTTCATCATGCCAACACACGTCAAACAAATCTCTGCCAGCGGTAGACCTTAAGACCATGTGCTATAGAACGATCTGCTTTGCATCTCATTGTGTTAAACACAATGAGATAGTAACACTGTGTGACATCATGAAATGTTTAACCCCTACATAAACTACTTCGTTCTCATTTTCTCTGTATGAGATCGACAAAAGTGGAGCGCTGGCAGATTTCTTCTACGAAAAACAGGGTTCCAGTCTAAGCGCGACTGATCAACCAATTTTTTCATAGTCATCCCATTGGAACCATTGCCACTGACTAGAATCCCTCCAAACGCATTCCATTGCGTCCCTTTTTATACGGAGAACATTTTTCGCACCAGCTTTTAGGTATAAAAACTGGATAAACGTGCCCATGTTGCTTTCTCGAGAGACATTTAATGCAAAAAATTTGGGTCGGTTATTTTGAAAAAGACTACGGTCAAATTTCCGTGTGTCACATAACACGACACGCATGAATTTCTTCTGCGTCTTTCAGCGGAAACAAAAATTTTTGCGATAAACCGTCAGAAAATCTCATCGTTTTCAACGTATAAAATATTATCGTCAGTAATTACACCAATAAAGATTTATGTGTTTCTCAGATAATCCTCAGACAAGTTCATCGAACCAGCCCACAGGCAGGCCGCGGAACTCACCCTCAGGTCTGCGGCAGTAATCGAGTGTGCTGAATATGAAAAAGTACTTTTCAGCACCTCAAAACCAACTTTATTTTTTTATTCCGATGATATGAAAGTAAACATTCGAACAGAAGATCGTTTCATTATTATTTTTTATATGACACGATCGATCAGTCTTCGTTTCACATACCAATAAATGCAATAATACACTCTCCTGGAATTTAACGTTTTGGGTGAGGCTCGATAAAACGCATCTTCGATTCTGTTTTATTCTTTTCGTGTATTTAATAGCATTTCTTTTTTTGTTTCATTTAGATTGAACAAATTAAAAAATTAAAAGTAACAGTAAAATGAATTATGTACGCGCAGAAAAAACAGTCATTTTTATTGAAGCCATAGAGAACGAGTTTTGCGCTCAAATTTTCATTTTGCGATGGAGAAGAAAAGTTGATAGAACAATCAAAGTTCAGTAAAATTTTCCGATCGTCATACGCCAATCGAACCGCCATTTAAAGCTGAACAAAAGTACGTATCGCTTTTTTTTTCTAATATTCTTATCTTACCGAGAATACTCATTTTCTCCATTCCAGTGACAAAATCGGGAAAAAATGAGGTCGTATTTTGAGTTTTTGACTACAAAAAATTTACCTTCAAGCAAAATGGGCATGATATTCGGAATGAGTATGAAGTACTTATCAAATTCAAATAAAAAGGTGATATTCGGAATCAGCTCAGTCAGGGCTATCGGAATATGTAGCTTCTAACCGAAAACTAATATAGTGCTTGATTTTTGAATTGCGCGCATCTTAGTAAAATCTCTAATGTCATACGCTTTCTGCATATATTTTCAGAAGGGGAATTAAACAGTAAGCGTTAGATGGCCGTTTTTTGTTTGTTTATTTGACGGTCATAAAATGTCTTTTAACAGTCGTATAGATCTGAATCGAGACATACGTCAGGTCATGAGTGGATACAAAGCAACATCTATTGTTGTGCTTACTATTGCAGCACTAATTAGGTCATTTAAACGTATTATGAATTATACGAATATATATTTATTCTAT